AAAAATAATATAAAAGTGCATAATAAAGCCCATTAAACATCCAAAACAGATAATATAATAGCATGGAACAATCAAAATTATAGATACGTTGGAGACGTATCAGATACTACGCCAAATGTAGCTCATACCTGCCATTGGTTCAACATCTAGCAAGTTTCCACTTGGGTAATACTTGGCTCGTAAGACACATGTACAAACGGAGTCCGGGGCCCGGAGTAATCGCCAACTATGACGCGCGAGCATGGCCAAACTAAATGAGTGGAGGTCTCTAAACCCAAGACCGCCTTCCTCCTTTGATAGTTTCATTTTTCCCATCCGACCCAATGCATTTTCCTCTCATCTGGTTGTTGGTTCCACCAGTACCGACATATGAACTGACTTATTTCATCACACAAGGATTTAGTAAGATTGAAGCACGCCATAGCATAGGTCGGGATGGCTTGGGCTAACATAAACCTCCTTCCCATCCATAGACAAACATCTTTCCATGCCTCCGTGAAGTCTGCTCACAATGATGTCCTTAATGTATGTGAAGCATTTCTTCGTTGACTTTCCAATGTATGTTGGCAGCCCCAAATATTTGCTTTCCTTCGTTTCAGCACCTAGCTGAAGTTCCTGCAACAGTAAGTTTTTGACACACTATTTGGCATTGATACTGAACATGACAGCTGACTTTTCTCTATTTATCACTTGTCCTAAACTTTCCTCATATGCATGTAGGATCCTGTTGATGGCTTGCACACTGTGCACTGTAGCTTCCATGACAAGTAGCGAGTCGTCAGCAAAAAGGAGGTGACTGACCCGGGGAGCTTCAGGGGCAAGTTGAATACCGCGTACATGCCCTTCCCTTTCTGCATGATGTAGCAAAGCTGAAAAACCTTCAGCACAGATTAAGAGGAGATACAGAGAGATTGGATCGCCTTGTCGTAAACCTCTGCCCGGAATGATGGTTTTGGTTAAGTCACCACTCACTCTAACCAGTATGAAACAGTGGTGACACATTGCATAATCAGTTGTACAAACTCCCCTGCAAAGCCCAACTGTGTCATCATTCCTTCCAAAAAGGGCCACTCAACCCGATCGTAAGCTTTGCTCATATCTAACTTGAGCACCATGTATACATCTTTCCCACTCCTCTTCCTACGCATATAATGTGTCATCTCGTAGGCCAAGATAGTATTATTCGAAATCAATCGCCCCGGGACAAATGCACTCTGGTTAGGCAAAATGAGCTCATCCAAGATCACCTTGAGTCGGTTGGCAAGAACTTTGGATACAAGTTTATACACCACGTTACACAGGCTAATAGGGCGAAGATCCTTGATCCTTTCTGGGTTCCGAACCTTCAGGATGAGCACAACAATAATTTCATTCCATCCGTCGGGTATACTGCCGCCCTGCAACACGTGTAGAACTTCTTGGACCACAACTTCTCCCACCGTACCGCAAAATCTCTTGTAGAACACTGTCGGCATACCATCAGCCCCTGAGGCTTTAAGATCACCCATATCATCTAGTGCACTATTGATTTCCTGGGCTGTGTACTCTTTTAACAAAAAGTTGTTCATCTCAGGTGTGACTCGGGGAAGAATGTGCTGTAGTACTTGCCAAATATTTGCACCTGTCATGGGGGTAAACAAGCCAAGGAAATGGTTAGATATGAGGGCCTTTAAGCCCTCCTCCCCTTCTACCTCCACCCCATCATCTCCTTTTAACTTTGTGATCTGATTGTTTCTCTTCCGCGATGAGGCAAACCCATGAAAGTACTCGGTGTTTCGGTCCCCTTTCGTCAACCATCCCACATGGGCACGTTGTTTCCAAAACACGTCCAGCTGATCCTCAAGACGCCCAAGTTTAAATCGCACCACTTGCTCCTTCCTGACACTCACTCCTGAAAGGTTGCTTCTTCGGCATTCCTCCAATTCAGCCCATAGCTTTTTGATTCTTTTCTGTAAGTCTCCTAACACTTCTCTGCTCCATTCATCCAACCTCCTGGACACTACCTTTAGGCGTTCCATCACCTTACCTTCACCACTCCTTGCTGCATCTTCCCACGCCTCAGTCACCACTTGTTCACAATTATCCTCAAGAAGCCAGCGAGCTTCGAACCTCTTGTTCAAGTTGTTCGGCTTTGGTCTGTTCTTTTTGGTCGCACCATGAACATCAAGGATGACCGGGCTATGGTCTGAATGTTCAGGGCAGCCGTTGCGTACCTTGTAACATGGAAAATGCATACACCATTGAGGATTTGCAACAGCCCTATCAAGACGCTCACGAATGTAACCATCCAAACGGAAATTATTATTGCGCCAAGTAAATACATCACCCTCGAAACCAAGGTCGTTCAAGTTACACAAATTTAAAGCATCACGAAAACGATCCATCTGAATTTGGGCTCTGGGCACCCCTCCTTGCTTCTCAAAGTGGTAGAGGATCTTGTTGAAATCCCCCATACATATCCAGGGTAGCCTTTCTTGCTGATGTAGTGTACGTAAAAGACGCCACGTATCTTCCCTGAGTTCAGTTCTAGGCTCGCCATAGATGCCTGTAAGTCTCCATTTGTATCCATCATCTTCTTCGATCGTCACATCAATGTGCATTCTTCCAAGCCATCTCAAGCTCAGGTTCACTTCTCTTTTCCAAAGCATAGATAGTCGACCACTCTTCCCAGCACAAACCTTGTAGACGAGGTGTGTCATCCCCAGGGGCGGAGCCCAATGGGCCTACCCTGATGCACAGGCATCACGGTCCGAATTAAATTTTACTCGTACGTGCTATCTATAGAAGGCCTGTGCATCAGGTACGGCAGTGTCCGGTGCATCAGGGTACGAAATTCCAGCCGAGGATCTATCTACTCGCCCGCTCCCAGCCCAGGCCCACTTCGCTCAGCATCTCGCGTTCGCAGCCCATACGTGCGTTGGTCGATCGATGGTTCCCCATGTCTGATAGGCTCCCAAATCCCAATCCCTAGTTCCCCACAGACGCTCCAATGGTGGCAGTACCCACTGAGCACGCCGCACACGTAGACGCGAGAGCTGCCGGCGATCGGCACGACGCCAACACCATAAATCTGACGCAACGCCCAGATGCATAGGTTACCGATCCCTTGATTGCTGCAACTACGCCGACACTCCTACTCTTTTTGCTCTATTGCCATCTACAGGTTAGAACATATCCTAATTTCCTCCTAGCAGCGCCCTTGCCTTTGTCAATGTTTCCAAGTACTTCTACAACTAATGGTTATCAATTTTAGTCAGGTTTTGCATTAACTTGAATCGAGATAAATCAAACTCTGTTCATATATACGAGTTTTGGCAAAACATGTGAATCGTTTAGGGTTTTAACTTGCAATTTTCCATGTCGGGTTTTAACTTACAATTTTCCATGTCATACATGTAACTTTTCAAAATTTTGTTTGTTAAATGCAGATATCCTATGGACAGGGTTTTTCACAAAAGAAAATCACTATTTTGAAATCTCTGGAAGATGTAATTTGGGAAGAAGACTAGATTTAGTATAATCCAGGCAAGAAGAAATTAACAGAACTTTACCATCCTAATTTGAAGAATATACTTGTGCAATCAGCTTGGTGATGAAATCTTCAGTGATGAAAAAGGTCACCGATGCTCAAGAAAGCAAATCTATTGGAAGGTAATCAAGAGACATCTTTTCCAAGTAAATTTGTCCTTTCATCCATCCTTATAGTTATATAGAATTTTAATTAGTAACAGTTGAATTTATACACCATCGTCTTATTATGTCGGATAATCTAGACTAGAAGTTACAAAATATACCTTTACTTAAAATGTTGCTTACAAAATTTACGCCATGTTAAGGTGGTGCATCAGGGTGACTTGTGCTCCAGCTCCGCCCCTGGTCATCCCCAAGGTTTGGTGTAGCCGTTCCACTTTATTTTTATTCATCCTAGTTTTTGAAAAAAAATACATCGGGATCCCCCTTCTTCTGGAGTTCTAGAAGACCTCGAACTACCGGCCTGTTCCCGAGCCCCCGGCAGTTCCACGTCACAATTCTCATTTTTGCTCGCGGAGCTGTGTCGACAGCCCCGCTTTCTCATTGGTCGGAACACCCTCTCCCTCAACTCCTTCTATGTCCCTCTTTAGCTTCTTTCCGTCCCCATCTCCTTCCAGACCAGTCTCATCGGAGCCTCGTTTTCCCATCATAGATTCAGTCTTCTCTATAGTATTGCCCTTCATACCACCAACACCCTTCCCAACCTTCCTCTGCTTACGTACCCATGTACTCCCTCCGCCCTATTTTATCTTCCCTGGACTCTGCTAAACTGCTCCCGATATCCGATGGTCGATGTGCATGGGGGTGTTCACATCGCTGACCTTAGGCCCTGCCTGCGCTGCTTTGCCGGAGTCTACTGGCGGCCTATCTGCATCACTCGACCCTTCTGTACAAGACTGTACTACAAGAAACATGTCCCTACCGTCCCTTTTGTCCTGAACCGTACTGGTCTCATTCTACGTCCGATCCTCAAAACCGAGTTTCTTTACTCGATCATTAACTCCCTTCTCTGTACATACCCGACCAACCCGACCATCAGTGAGTTTTAGTGGACTAGTAACTTCTCCCTCCTCCCGTACCTTGTCTTTCTTGCTGTTGTTTTCGAGGCTATCCTCTTTTCTCCAGGATCTGCTGTCACTACCTGAATTCTTACTGTTCTTGCTTCCCGCATTATCAAAGTATCTACTCTTTCCCCCTTTTCATCTACTACCATCAGATTTGACGGCTTGTGAGGTGGCGGATCCGGCGGCGGACGCGTAGCAGCACCCAAACTTTTAGGGATAGAGCAAGTTATTGAGGATTTGATAGTATGCGTTTTTTTTAACATCTGATTTTTAGAAAGAAAAAGGGGTGAACCTGCTAGAAGTTGCTCGGGATGTGCGACGAAGTCCACTTGCCTTTCAAATTTCAGAACCAGTCCGCTTTTCAGTTTAGGAAACCCTAAACCCTAGCCTCCTCTCCCCACTCCCATGGCGCCGCCGTCGCAACTGGTGCTTGCGGCCTCCTCCACCGACGCCGGCGTGGCCGCGTGGGACCTCCGCACGGGGGCCGAGGCCATCCGCCACCGCCCCTGCGCCTCCCGGCCACGTGCCATCGCTGCCGTCGCCGGCCGCTTCCTCGCCGCCGCCCAAGTCGCCGCCGGCAACTCCGCCCCCATCCACTACTACCACTGGGACAAGGTAAGCACTCTTCACAAACCGGACTTCATTTACTTGAACTCGAAACCCTAGGCTGAGCTTGTGTTGTCGGTTCCTGTTGCAGCCTCAGGTGGCTGTGAAGAGCTTCCCCGCCGAGCCAATCCGCGCGCTCATTGCTGATCCAGAGGGGAACTATCTCATCGGCGGCGGTGTGTCCGGTGACATATTCTTTTGGGAGGTGAGGGGATTGTGGTCTCTAGGTGGCGTGGTGGGAACTGTTATTGAAAAGTTGTTCCAGCTTACACATGTTAAATTTTGTGTGCTTTGTGTAGGTGGCTAGTGGAGAGCTGCTTGTCCGATGGCATGCTCACTATCGTGATGTTAGGTGCCTAGCCCTGTATGACATGTTGCTTGTCTCGGCGTCCGAGGATGGGAGCATCAAAGTTTGGGATCTGCTCACGTATGTAGTTTGATGAGGGTAAAAGTTGGGTGAACTATTTTGTATTTTGTTTGACCGGGTTAATTGGTGTTGATTGCAGGATGCTTGATGAGCAATCAAGGTTTGAGGCAAAGACACCATACCTATACAACTTTAATCAGCACACACTTCCTGTAACTGATATTGCTTGTTTTCATGGAGCAATTGCTTTGTCATCTTCAGAGGATCGTACATGTAAAGTGTGTGCTCAATTACTTCTTTTGCTTTTTAGTTGTGAGATAATGAAGGATCTCAATGCTCATATATTTGTTATCTTTGCCCAGATATGGAGTCTATCAGAGGGCAGAATGCTGAGAAGTATTTCATTTCCTGCTATCATTGATTCTGTCGAAATAGACCCAAGAAGTCATATTTTCTATGCTGGTGGTAGAGATGGAAAGATATATGTTACTGCTATGGGTGTTGATGTCTCCTCTCAGGGCCGTGATGATTTGTCTATTCTTGGTATTCTGGATGACCACAGGTTTGCTCACTGTCCTAGTTTTTCCTTAGTGTGTCTCTTTTATCATGTGATGATATAAGTAGCTCCAATACGTAGATCAGAGATTCTCTTATGTCATCTATGCGTAGACTGGTTAAAAATTTGTCCTGTTTGCTTGTGCTGTAACTGGGCTTGAGATCTGAATTTGCCATTTCACTCTCTGGCTAAATCAATGCAGCTTATTTTGTTGTTCTTACTGTTGTACTTTGCTTGATTTTGTATTTATGCTATAATTTTATACCCTAGTATTAGTGAAGTACAATCCATATGCATAAAATGTGTTAGTGTGTTGTATGCAAATATGCTTAACAATAACTGGCTGTTGCTTTTGATATCAACTATATGTCAGAGTAAGCATTATTCTAACTTGTGGAAAGTTAGTTCACCTTGGTATCAGTACTGTGCAGAAGATTGCTGGACGACATGCCGCGAAGGGGATTGGGCTTTTAAAAGGAGAGACGCACTTGATTGCAGTGAGAGGACTAGAAGGGTTGACAAATAACATATATAGACGAGTTATCTGTTTGAGGCTTGTCTTTTGACGAATTACATGCCAGTAGCTATGAGGACTCAACCTTAGTACTCATAACTTAACTCACTTGTCCTTGCTTTGACCTAGTACTTACTAACCTCTACACCACTACTAGATGGGAAGTAGGTCTGAAAAATACACCAATTGAACTCTCCTTCTGGTTGCTATATCCGAGTTGCAGGAGGACTGTCGCTGCCCCATGGGCTGCACATCCTTCCCGTTGCTGCTGCCCATGTTTTAGTCTGCTGGTGAACTTCTGGCGAAAATTGAGGCGATAAGCTGCTTGGTCCATGAACTTGAAGTTGTAAACAGAAATGTTTGAATGGTCTCTTGATCAAGGAGAGTATGTCCTGTTAACTGGTACTAGATTTGGTTGTGCTGTGCTCGGGTACTGGTATAGGTGCCTGGGAGCAATAAAGAAATGTGCAAGAACTTTTATTCACATCCAATGCTTGAACTTGTATTATTTCATTCGACCAATACTTCATAACTCACCGTATATAGTTTAGTTTACCGTTTACTGGAGATATATGTACTTTGGTTAGTGGTACAAGATAAACTAAGATCTCAACAAATATGCTGTTTAGTTTGAGTCGCTTCATTTCAAATATTCTGTTATTTGTGTTGCAAAATTTCTTTAATTGATCCTGGTGATTTGTGTAATTTGTTCAGCAAGGCGGTAACGAGCTTAACATCAAGTACAGATGGCCTTCTACTAGTCTCTGGTTCGGAGGATGGTAATGTTCGGGTTTGGGATACCAGAAGTCAGCAAGTAACCCGGAAATTCAAACACTCCCAAGGTTCGTAGTTTATTTCCACACTTGAACTTTTGCTCTCCAGACCTTATGTAGAAAATGTGAAAAGTTTGAACCTGTTTGATAAGTATTCTGCATTATCGTGGACTATGGAGTTGTTTTTCTGTGTGTGAGAGAAGTTGATGGTCGTGACCATGCTTAATTGTGACTATTAGAAACACTCCTGTTGGAAGAAGCTAATGAGATGTGCTATTTAATGCTGGCACCTTCAGTAGATTGACATGTATGTCTAGCTTGTTGCCTTGCTTGCTTGTATAGCATGCTTAATGGTGACCAGAAAGTAGAAATATTCCTATTAGAAAAAGCAAATGAAATGGTATTAAATGTCTGCACCTTCAATAGATTGAGACACGCCTAGTTTGTTGCCTTTCTAGTATTTGGTTGTAGGTTTACCGCATTAATTCCATTAAAGATGTATATCGAGAACATTTGAAGTTTGCATTGTATGCACCCTGCACATACTGGTGTACAGGGATAATTTACCTATGGACAGCTGATGTAAGCATTACGGGTTAACAACTTTGATTTGCATGAGTACTCACCACTCACCAGTCACCATGGAGAAAACTTGAGTATCTTTAACTTAAGGTAGTTATGAAAAGATGCAAGGGAATTTTTTTATTTCGATACTTTCCTGTATTGTAGGGGCTGTTTGGTTCTCAGCCATACATCGCCACGCCAAAGCTGTGGTGGGCCACGCTTCCCTAGGCAGGTGTTTGGTTCTGCATGAAGGTTGGCTCGCCACAGCGCAAAAGAGCTTCTGCAGCAGAGATTCTCGCCAAATGTGTGGCGTTCGTTTAGCCCGCCACACTTTCTGTGGCGTGCCACAGGTGTGGGCTAGCACCTCAACTTAGGTGTGGCAATTTTAGTCCCCAACCAAACAGACCAGTAGTGTCATATTGAGTTAATCGTCTGTAGTATCACGACAGACCCAAAGCCAAGTCCTACTTTTTACTAAATGGTGATGGCAAGTGTAAGTGTTCATTTGATCTGTGTGATAGTTTGTAATTCATGCTGGAGAACATGTCATTCTATGTCCTTCATGCACACACGATGGAACCATTTAACTTTTGTTGTGCACAATAGCCCCAGTAACAAGGGATATGCTATAACAGCACAGCAAGCTGGTGCAACTGATTGTGGTGTAGCAAGGGTATGGTGGAGAACTGTTTTTCTCGAGAAAACGCAAATGGCCTTTGCGTTTCATTGCATTGGAAAGATAGGGAATTTACATCCTCCTAGGAGGCAGATTTACACAGTTGTCGGATGATCAGTGGACATCCCATGATGATGGCAAAACGACCCTGAGCCCTTGAGCCCCGGCCTTTGCCCAACATCGGGCCTCGTCCTTGATCCGGTCGACAAGCTCATTGAGCGATGGGCTCACATGGTCAAAAACGCACGCGTTCCTATGCTTCCAGATCATCCACGGCACCAAAAGCGCCACGTATTTGAGCGCCTTGCGGAGCGCTGGCGGTGTGGAGTCCTTCGCGCGCAGCCACCAGTCCATGATGGAGTCGTCGTGCTCGGGCGTCGGCGCCGGCAAGCGCAGCCAAGCTAGGATCTCATGCCATGTGTGCCTAGCGAAGGGGCACGCGAGCATCAGGTGTCTGATCGTTTCCGGCTCTTGGTCGCACAGGAGGCATCGTGGGTGGTGCTGCAGGCCACGGCGTGCAAGCCGCTCCGTGGTCCAACAGCGATCTTGGCAGGCCAGCCAGTGGAAAAATTTCACCCTTGGCGGTGCCCAGCTCCTCCAAATGAGTTTCCAGGAGTGGCAGCCCGTCGCGCCTGGAAGGTTGCCCGGTAGCAGGACTGAGCAGTTTACACGCCGTTAGCGGTCCAGCTCCAGAGCAGCTTGTCCGGCTCGTTGGACAGCTCAACGTGCTGCACAAGGTGCCAGAGCTTCAGGTACTGTCCAATCTCGGGAAGGCCGAGCAGCCCACGGATGTCGCGCGCCCAGCTGTTGCCGGCCAAGGCCTCCGCCACCGTTCTCACTTTCCGGCGATGCTTGGGAATGCACTGGAAGAGCATGGGCGCAAGCTCACGGACGGACAGGCCGCCGAGCCAGCGGTCCTCCCAAAAGAGGGCGGTCGATCCGTCCCCAATGGCCATGGTCGTGGAGGCATGAAAGAGGGCGCGCTCTTCCAACGAAAACTGCAGGTCCAGCCCCTGCCATGTGCGCTCAGTGTCCGTACGCGCAAGCCATTAATTTTCTTGTCATGTCTGATGAGTAAAAACTCAAACGGAGTAAAGGCGTGAGCGATCAATAGCAGTAGGGAGTAACAGGTGGCTAACTGCATACATTATTTTGCGATTACCAGAGTGATTTTCACCATTCATTTACTTGACTTGATTGTTTTGCTTGACAACTCAACTGGTGTAAATGTACGCAAGAGTGAACAAAATGAATACCCCTTGACAACTCAACTGATGCAACTGTTTAGGTGCTTTGGTACTTTATTTTTGTTTATTTATAGTCACAAGTCTTTCAAATGTGGAGCACTGAAGCCAATCGCCCTTTTGTGCGAGGTTCATCTCTCGTGATAAAATATAATATATCCCATGGTACACTCACATTTGTTCTGTGAACCTGTTTCAATTAATTGCCATACTATAATGTTTTATTATGCCATTTGGCTATGCATATAATTTCTGAATCATGCCTAGGGAAAATTGTCTTCAGAGATTTTGATAAAAATCCTGTCTCACAGGTCCAGTAACTAATGTTCTCATAGTAACACCCAAAAGATTAAATCTGCCACCTTTACAACCATTGCGTAAAGTGTGTGCAGCGAGTGGCGAAGTTGAACCACGGGCTGTAATTCTGCCCAACCCTGAAAATGATGTTCATATTGCTGGAAATCTCAGCTCTAACCTTCTAGAGCAGCTCTTGGATGCACAGCAGGTCAGCTGATTTTCGTATTCCCTTATATTCTGTGTAACACATTTATTAACCTTCTATTTTCATGTTTCTTTGTGTTGTATCTTATTGTTATACTTTGGTCCAGCAGCATGGCAATTCTAGGTTATTTGATTCTGGGGTGAGCACTCTGAATGGCGTACCAAACCAACAGGGTACAGAATGGAGAAGTAAATACCTAGAGTTGCAGGATCTCTTTGTGCATGAGGTTCTTGGTGATATGCCATCTTAATGGACATATGATACCACAAGACTGGATATTACAGGCCATTACTGCCAGTTAGGTGAGAACTGCATACTAGTATTTTTCTTTTGTTGTTTAATTAGAATGGATAATGGTGAAAGGCTACTCTGTATCAGTGTTGACCTTGTGAGCTCAAAAGGGGTCAGATGATGATATTTCCACATACGGTGATCGATGATTTTTCTTGCCCTAGTTCTACACTTGTGGATTTATGTAGCTTAAGAAAAAAAAGATATTGAAACTCATTTGTGAACCTCTTACCAGAATCATATTGCACCATCTATATACGTTGTCTTCTATTGCTATT